ACCCCCGTAGCCGATTACGAATCAGTGGATCTAGGCGCGTCCAACCATCAAGTGTTTGGTATCATTCAACGCAGAATCATTGATAATTGTGTTAAATTTTTAAAATTAGCAAGATTTGATGAAAATAAAAAAAATTAGAGCTAAAAAACTGTTTGTTTTGAGAGAAAACTTTGAAGCCCCGTAAATTTTTCTCTTTTTATCCAATCTTTCTAATTTTAAAAAAATTAACATAATTATCAATGATTCTGCGTTGAATGATACCAAACACTTGATGGTTGGACGCGTCTAGATCCACTAATTCATCATCGGCTATGACATATATACTATTTCAGCCCCTCCAACACCATCTCCCTCTTCGCCACCCACTCAAACTCCTCCTCCCAAAACCTCAACACCTCGAGTCATAACCACACAAGGTACTCAACTTTAGTCTATTTCTTTCTAATCTTTCTGATATTTTTTTGGACAGTTATATTGTGTTAACAATTTTTAGAAGCTCTCCAGACAACCGCTTGCTCTTGCGGCTAGCAGCTTTGGTAAAACAATTCTTGATAACACGTTTACTAGCAATAAACTTTCGATGCTAACTTTAGAATTGTATGACAGTGTTTACAATGAAGAGCTATGCGTTTGGACAAAATGGTTTATAAGATTGACAAACCAACAAAATACCAAAAACAAATTCTATACTTGCAAACTATTCTCCTCAACTATTCCTAAAAATACCCTGCTCAAACTAGACATGGTGGCGAAGCCGTGGTGGAGGTCTGAGCTCAAAGTTTGGAATCGAATCGGAATCGATCTACCGGTCAATCTATATCTTCTACGGTAGATAGTACTCTGGCTGGCTTCTTAGTTGTTTGCGAAAACGCATGCGGCGGCATTTTTGCACACATAGCGAGCCACCGCCGAAGTGTCTACGTTGCCTACATGGTTGCTGACATCCGTTAACAAGAAGAATCATTCATGACCTATAAGAAAAACAATCTACTCCTTTATTAAGCCAAAAACGGGACTCTCTGTCTCTGCGTTTGTTCCGGCTTGTGGTCAAGTGGTTAAGCTGGGCTCGGCGTCCGGGTTTGACTCCTGCGATGGTCAAAATATTTGGTTAAATTTCAAAATTCAAAGTCTGAGATTTTTTGTTGTCTGAGATTTAAACGAGAAATGCATAAGCTCTTACTAGTCACTGGCTTATTTCACCGGAATAATGGTAGCCTTTTGAAGCCTTTGAAGCCTTTGAAGCCTTTGAAGCCTTTTGAAGGTCACATTGGTTCTTGTAGATGACTTTATTGTAGACCTAAACTGATTTCCAGCCTTTTGATTCACTTCTTACCATGATGGCTTCTCCCGAACAAGTGGTACGACTTCCAGAAAGTCAGACGAAGCCAAGAGCCAGTATACGAGTTAGGTTAGAAGCCAGTCCAGGTCAGCCAAAAGTCTGGCTCCTGGCTACATCTTTTGTGGCCAGGTCAAGCCCACTGTTTTGGAACTTCCCTCTTTCAAAAACTTGCTTTTGATCACTAAAACTAAATACCAAAATCTTTTTCACTTCTGAGAAAAAGTTATGGTTTAGTTTTTTCTCTAAAATTCCTCCGAAAACGCTGCCATTTCATACTCCCAATACAAGCTTTCAATGATAAGAAAAAGGTGAATATTAAACCGATTTTGAATAACTTTTTGAATGTAAACACTGAATGTCTTATCGTTTCAGGTTTGCATTCTTGAAAATTGATAGTTTTAATGATTTACACGATTCGTTGAGTTTGCTGAAAGGTGGCTGGACCAAAGTCATTCTATAATCATGGGTTACAAACGAACAGAAAGCTAAGGAAATAGCTATAGCCAGTCGGTTAGATTTATGCAAAAAAAATCTGTTCTTGAAAACAAAAGCAAAAAATTTTGACCCCTGGGTGACTCGAACACCCAACCTTTCGATCTGGAGTCGAACGCGCTACCATTGCGCCAAGGAGCCATGTGGAAGCGATGGGCAGATTTTGACTTTATCGAGACAAATATTCAATATATAGTTTTTGTTCAAAAAACGATTATAAATGCTTAAAGAAGTCAAACTTTTAAAACGCGAAAGCAGCAAAAGCAAAAAGTTCCAAGTACGGGAAGTGCAAGTGCAAATGCAAGAACCCAACCCGAAAGTTTTGCGGACAAGCGCACTATCCACTATGCCAAGACCTCACTTATCAAGAGCAAGACCTTAGTCGGTTAGATTTATGCAAAAACAATTTGATCTTGCAAAGAAAAGAAAAAAATTTGACCCCTGAGTGACTCGAACACCCAACCTTTCGATCTGGAGTCGAACGCGCTACCATTGCGCCAAGGAGCCATACAAAAACGCCAGCCAGATTTTGGTTTTATCGAGCCAGAAAAGCGATAAACTGTTTCAACCATTAATTTAAAATCATGTTTCAAAAAGAAAGTTTCAAATTTCATTTAAACCTTTCACAAAATCTAATTATTGTACTTGCAAGGGAATGATCTGAGCTCAAAGTTCGGAATCAACAGGAAATGATTTTGAATAACATTTTGAATGTAAACACTGAATATCTCATCGTCTCAGGCTTGCATTCTTGATAATTGATAGTTTCAATGATTTACATGATTTTGATTACCCTAAAATTCCATAGATAAGAGCGGTTATCGCTAAAAAATATTTTTTTCTGAAATTTTGTTATTGATATTAATTTTTTTCCTTATTTTTATTTTTTTTGGTTTTTTTAACCTTACGTTTTATATTTTTTATTTTAGAAATCATGCAACGTCGCAAGTCTTATACGGCGGCTTTCAAGCTTGATGCGGTGAAGCACCGGGATGCGCGTGGAACATTAGCGGCAGCTATTCATTTTAATATGACTGAAGGAATGATTAGAAAATGGGTTGCGGATAGGGATATCCTCGAGGAGATGCCAGCAACGAAAAGAGCCCGGCGTTACAAAAGGCCAAGCGTGGAAGAAATTGAGGAGGAAATTTACAAGTGGATTGTTCAAAAAAGAGACCTTAATAGAGCAGTCAAAATAAATGAGATAAGAACCAGAGCAAAGAAGTTGGCAGAAGAGCACGGTTACCACGAGTTCAAGGCATCCCTGCGTTGGTGCAGCTTATTCATGGCACGAAAATCGCTGTAATACCAGGTGGTATGACCAAAATTCTGCAGCCGTTAGACGTAGGTATCAACAAACCATTTAAGGACAAATTGAAGGATGGCTGGAAAAATGGATGGCAAACGAAGCCAATGCAAATTATACAAAAAGCGGAATCAGAAAAAGAATGAGCTACCAAGAAGCAGCATTTTTGGTCAGCGAAAGTTTCTTTTTTCCATCTCTTCTGACACTATCATACATAGCTTTGAAAAAGCACTGTGTGATGTTGAAAATCTCAAAAACGATTTTTGCGGTATGGATATAAACGATGATGACGATGTAGAAATTGAAAATATTAATTAAATTATTGTCACTTTTGTTGTTGTTGTTGTTTGGTTTTATAACAAATTAAAATATTAAAAAAAATTAAACCACTCTTATCTATGGAATTTTAGGGTACATACAGTTTCAATGATTTCAATGATTTCAATGTTTCAATTCGTTGAGTTTGTTGAAAGGTCGCCCGAGCAAAGTCAATAGAATCTTGGGTTACCAACGAACAGAAAGCTAAGGAAATAGCTATAGCCAGTCGGTTAGATTCATGCAAGAAGAATCTGAACTTGAAATAAAAAAAGCAAAAAAATCTTGATCCCCTGAGTGACTTTGCGCAAAAACTAGAAATAAACAAATTTTTCCGATTTTTCTTTAAGAAATGCTTGAATTTTTAATGAAATTTGATAAATGCAATGCACTAGATAGAATGTGTTTTCATTTTTACTGTTACTGATAAACTGTTTCAACTATTAATTTAAAATCATGTTTCAAGAAAAATTAGCTTAAAAGTTTCAAATTTCATTTAAACCTTTCACAAAATCTAATTATTGTACTTGCAAGGGAATGGCCTGAGCTCAAAGTTCGGAACCAACAGGAAACACAGTGCATAACATAAAATAGGCAATGGCGAACAAAACGCCACAAAAATTAGCCGCTAATAGCCACAGAAACGTGAGGAATCTGGCATGCAAAATCAGGATTGAAAACTGATTTCTTTATAAGGCTTCTCTCGCTGCCGGCCAGAGATAAGCTCATGGCCTTGTGGATCAAGGGCTAGTCTGTGAAATAGCGGTCGTTTGTTTGCCATCGGGTTCAACTCTGCCCACATCCAAAAGTTTTTTTTTTGCGATTCTTGGAAACATTTAAAATCTACAAATTTCTTTCTTATAATTTTTTTTGCTTTTTATACTTTTTTCTCACAATTTTTTATCCCAATATCTATGAATTTTAGCAATGGAGATTGATAATGGACAAATACTACTTCATTTAATCAAGAAAGTTGGCCTGGCGTCGGAAGAGTGAGATTTGAAAAGATTTGAGTGAGTTTTTATACAATAAAGTTAGTGTAAAGAATGATGGATGAAAATATCTGTTTTGGTTTTTCGAAAAATGTGAAATTTATTTTATTTTATTAAAATTTAGTCTGCTTTATCAACGAAATAGTTCCGAGAATCGCAAAAACAAAATTTTGCATGTGGGCGGAGTTGAAACCGAGGGCAAAAATACGATCCCTGTTTCACAGACTAGACCTCACAGACTCACTAGACCTCACTAGACAGAGCTCGTCTCTAGCCGGCAGCGAGAGAAGCCTTATAAAGAATGCAGTTTTCAATCCCGATTTTGCATGCCAGATTCCTCACGTTTCCGTGGCTATTACCGGCTAATTTTTGTGGAGTTTTGTTCATTTTGTTTTGGCGTTTTGTTTTGGCGTTTTGCTCATTCCGTTTTGCCGTTTTGCCCATTATGCACTGTGTTTCCAGTAGATTCCAAATTTTGAGTTCAGACCATTCCTTTGTTAGCTTTGTTTACATGTTTAAGATTTATTTGAATGTACAATACACAATCGTATTTTCACATTCCCGCCATCTCGGGAACGATTCGTCCTTTGTGATCGATTTGGATGACAAAACCGCCCATTTTCCCCAAATCTACATTTGAGAGGATGAGCTCCTTGCGGGCGATTCGAGAGGTTGAGGTGCCATCTGGAAAGCATTTTAGTACAATGTTTATAAGGTTACACTTACAAAACAAAGGTCAATCAATCTCACAAAAAGTCGAACTCTATTAGACTTGGACTATTAGTCTATTAGACAAGGGAATATCAACAAGTTGTGGTGACCAAATGACATGAGCCATAGACTAACCGATGTAGAATTTTGCGCTGATTCTGCTTGCCGGACTCGGACCCTAGGGTGCTTGTTTTGTATTCAAGCCTACTGCCATTCAGCCACCACGACATCTTTTCCGTTCTGGTAAGTCAACTATGTAAACTGGATAAACTCAGAAACTGTTTTCTACACTTCCATAAAACTTTAAACGCTTATAACTCTTGACAGAGTGCTCCATATGAGAAACGGAAAGCAGATTCAAAATCAGCGTAAAATTCTACCTCTGTTAGTATATAGCTCAGATCATTTGTTAGTATATAGCTCATATCACCACATTCCTTTGTCAAAGTTCATAAGAAAATCAATCCGATGGGCATGAACATGAGTTTTCTTTGGCTGAGTGGCAGTAGGCTTGAATACGAAATAAGGACCCTAGGGTTCGAGCCCGGCAAAGCAGAATCAGCGCAAAATTCTAGGTCTGTTAGTATATAGCTCATGCTGTTTGTTTGTTTGAATATTTTCTTTTGTTTATAACTCACCATCATCCGCTTTGATGACAGTCACGAAAATTTTCTGTTTCGTTTTTTTCGAGTATGGTAGATACCATTTCATGTTCTGTCGATGCAGAAATGTGTAGCCGGGAGGAACAAATTTTCGATAGTACACTTTGTGATACCAATTCGTGCAAAACCATGGACCTGAAAAGTTTAAAACTCTTTATTTTGTAAACGCAGCCCTTCTGGTGCCACTTATTTGTCTTCTGATGATATTCGTAACTGATGGTGCACCAAGGAGATGTGTTTGCATCGAGTACAAAGTACATTTATTGCACAAACCTTCTCTTTCCCTTATCGGTATCTCGACAGCCGTGTGCTCACCAACGTCCACTTTAATGTAAACAGCTTTCCCGTCGAGATTTCTAATCTCCACAGTTTGTCCCATTCGTTTCTCCCAGAGATCTGTAAATGAATTTTGTAATTGGTTAGTTAGTCAATAGTCAAGTTAGCCATTTTTTTAAACCATACAATTCTCAGGATATATCTCGAACCATCCATCGTGTAGATTCACTGAGCAACCGATTCTCAATGGATGATTCTCACATAAAGAAATCATGAACTCTAAAAATGAGAAAATTCATTAATTACCATGATAAATTACCTTATCAAAAGCTTATTAACTACCAATAATCGCTATTTTACACTAAAAAACCGTACTTATAGTTGAACATTATCCATTGTTCTACTAATTTACAAACAACAATCTCTGTTCACTTGGATAGCGACCAGGAACAGCAATAGCTTGTTGTATATGTCGTAGCCGATTATGAATTTCGGCCGATTATGAATGATTCATAACCGGCTAGCCGATTATGAATGAAAGTAGCTTTTTCTAGAAATTTGGCGTCAAATCCAGATTACTATGTTGATATTTAATTGTTTAGTGCTGTTGTTGTCAAGGTAACTCCTGACGTTTTAACCACGTTTATTGAATGTAAACGAAAACATATTAACAAATTTTCTAGAGTTAAACAATAACGAAAAACATAACAACAATAACAATAACAAAATTAACAAGTCAAAAGATTAGAAAGGTTTACAAAATTCATCAAGAACTTGTAGTCACCGTCGGGCACCGATTGAAGGTCAACCAAATCGATTTGACATCGCTCATTTTGTTCTTTTGTCACAATTGGTTTTATAACAATTCCTTTCTTGGGTATACCCTTCTTCAGCTCGCATTCATCACAAAGCTTGACAAATATTTCAATAATCTCCTTTGAGATTCCATGATAGTCGCGAAGTTCCTTCCACATAATATCGCGTCCAGCGTGTCCTAGTCGTTTGTGAGTATCAATCAGTAGATTGAAGAGCTCCTCCTTCTTGACCACTCGCTTTGGTTGATTGTTTTGCCCGTGACTGTAGAGATTCACCTGGTCCTGTTCGTATCGAAGAGAGAAACGATTTAGCAAGTTGACATTGCGTGATGTTTTCTTCTTATCGGTTCCCTCGCTGAATTCTTTGATTTTCACAACGATTTCATTGTATTTGTCAGCAGACGGTATCAAAATCTTCTTTCTTTGAGATTGATATTGCGTGAAGGTTTCAGCAAATCAATCCTCCATCCTAAAAAGACAATTTAGTACGATGAAAATATAAAATACAAAAGTTAAAAATGTGAAAACGTGAAAACTTAAACTTTTTTCGAAAGTATAAAGCATGATTAACAAGTCGTAACTAGTGACGTATTAAGGTTCAAAACATTTAAATTCTGGGTCAAAATGGGAAAGTTGCCGATCCATACTCGAACTGGGGGAATTGGGGTTTTACCAACTACAACATAAAAAAATAATCTGCATTTGACGCCAAATTTCTAGAAAAAGCTACTTTCATTCATAATCGGCTAGCCGGTTATGAATGATTCATAATCGGCTAGCCGATTATGATTTTCGCTAGCGAAATCATTTGCTTCATAATCGGCTACGACATATATATTGGGTTGGTGAATTGAAAACTGCCGGCTATTCTCATATGTGACAGTTTGAGCACTTTCTTCAAAAGAAACCCATTTTGGTGTTAATGGAAAAGTTGTAGAGAATCAAAAATCAAGCTTATATCCAAATTTTTAGAACGATTCAAAAACTGGTTTTCAAGAAATGCCAAATTTACGAATTTTCACAAAACTTGCATTTTAAGCGAAACTACTAAGTGTATCTTTTTGGAAATTTGGCTATAAGCCTAATTTTTGATTCTCTACAACTTTTCTATTGACACCAAAATGGGTTTCTTTTAAAGAAAGTGCTCAAATGCTCAAACTGGGACATCTTCAGTCCTCCATTTTTGAGTCTCACACTTGTCTCACACACAAACCAGAATCCTATTACGAAAGAGAAAGCCGCAAATTGCCTGTAAAATGGGCAGAAGTCGTCAATAACAATGGAGATTATTTCGAATGAATTGATGGCTTTATGTTGAATAAATTTTAGTTCAAAGTCCCGCAGTTTTCAATTCATTCCCTATCGATCAAAAAGTTTGTCGAAATCATGTAAAGCTGAGATTCCGAGTGTGACGGACAGACAGACGGACGGACACTTCTCTTTTATATATAGTAGATTAAGTTAATGGATTAAGGGTTCAAAGGCAAACGATGCTTTCGGTTAGAACTTAGCTTCTGGTTCCTTCCTTATGTTGAATAAATTTTAGTTCAAAGTCCAGCAGTTTTCAATTCACCAATCCAATAATTATCATGACAAATTACCTTATCAAAAAGCCTATTAACTAGCAATAATCGCTATTTTACACTAAGATACCGTACTTAATGTCGAACTTTATCCACTGTTCTACGAATTTACAAACAACAATCTCTGTTCACTGGGATAGCGACCAGGAACAGCAATAACTTTTTGTATATAGAATTATTATCTCTTTTTTAGAGATTATCCAATATATCGGAATATTTAGGAACAAGAAACGAACGAAAAACGAAAAAACGAACCCTCTTCTTGTCCATCTCGAATCAATCGATGCAATCGCTCCTTTTTTTGAAAAATCGTCAGGAAAGCTGTCTCGGAACCGGGAAAGAAAATCTGAAATCTAGATGTCGTAGCCGATTATGAATGAAATTTTTTGGCAAATCTTTCTAGTAGAGCAACCCTTTAATGCATGAGGACAATATTAAATCATTTTATAGCGAATTAAATTCTGCGTCGATTGGTATCATAATTTGTGTGTTTATGTTAAAAATTACGGGCGCTACAACGTCTCATCCAAAATCCGCGCAACCCCAAGAGCTGTTTCTGAATGTGTGGATCTAGGCGCGTTCAACAATCAAGTGTTTGATATCATTCGACGCAGGATTATGAATCTCAGCCGATTATGAATCTCAGCCGATTATGAATCTCAGCCGATTATGAATCTCAGCCGATTATGAATCTCAGCCGATTATGAAACTCAGCCGATTATGAATGAGTGGGTCTAGGAGCGTCCAACCATCAATTATTTGGTATCATTCAACGCAGAATCATTTATAAATTTTTTAAATTAGAAAGATTGCTAAATTGTTAAATTTTTTTTAAAGATTGTTAAATTTTTTAAATTAGAAAGATTGGATCAAAGGAAAAAAATTAGAGCAAAAAAAACTGTTTGTTCGAGAGAAAACTTTGGAGTCCCGTAATTTTTTTTCTTTTTATCCAATCTTTCTAATTTAAAAAATTTAACATAATTATAAATGATTCTGCGTTGAATGATACTAAATAATTGATGGTTGGACGCTCCTAGACTCACTAATTCATAATCGGCTACGACATAGATATTTTTCTAGTTATCTAGATATCTAGAGATTTCTCTTTATTTAACAAAATACCCTTTTCTCTCCAGGATCGATTGTGGCTAAACAATTCGGAGAAGAGAGATATCTGTACATCTCGTAATCATCATCTTTTGAAAGGCCTGATCCAGAAACGGCTGTAACGAACAAGCTATCAAAAATTATATATAAAAGAGAAGCGTCCGTTCGTCTGTCTGTCTTTACGATCAATTTCTCAAGTCCCGTAGACCGATTTCCATGATTTTTAGTTTTTTATGCTTAGAATTCTATGTAGTTGTGCATCTCATATTTCGGTTTTTAAAAGACAAAACTCAAAACACAGCCGGAAGTCGAACCCGGGCCGTGTGAGCCGTAGACAAGCGCACTCCTGACCGCGCTAGTTGAAAAGATAAAAATAGCGAGTTTACATACGAAAATTAGCAATTGAGTTATTTTGACATACTATATAAAAGAGTTCCCTGTCTCTACGAGCTTTTTCTCAGCCGTCTTTAGGCCAAAAAACTCTCGAAATATAATATTGTTATGGCATTTAAAATAAAAAGTAAAAACGTCAAGATTGAGTGGCACTACGGGGGGCGAGCCCGGATTGTGTGGGCCGTAGACAAGCGCACTTCCGATTGCGCCAAGGCGACAATAGGTCGCCACACGGGTTTTTCGGCTTCTTGATGTTAGAGTCCATACAAATTCCAGTCTTTTCATATATGTTAAGACAGAAATTTCAGCATTAAGACAATTTCTGAAGCGAAAAAAGATAAAGATGCTGGATTGCAGTGAGATTGATAAAGCTCATGTCTTGTGATTGACAAAGCTGATGTCATGACAATGACATGAGCTAACAGACGTAGAGTTTTGCGCTGATTCTGAATCTACTTTCCGTTTCTCCTATGGAGCACTCTGTCAAAAGCTATAAGCGCTCAAAGTTTTATGGAATCGCGATCGATGGATTGCAGTAAGACTTCAGCGTACCATTGACACTTACAATTAGGAATGTATAACATCATTTTTAGTCGAATTCAATAAAATCAAGATCACGTCTGACCGAATATCACTTTAGCTGTTCATTTACCCGAATTCAACTCCTCAACTGGTGCTCGAAACGTCGTAAAAGAAACGTCGACAAGAGCCGTTTTATGAGATTTATTGTGTACTTCGATTGCTCCCTGGAAATCGTTAATGCAATATTTTTTACAATTCTACAATGACTTAACTAGTAAACTATATTTATCAGATTTTAAGACACTTTTCTACATCCAAACTGTTGATCAATCGCAGAGGGGAACTCGGGTAAAGTTAGATCAACAATTGATCAACAATTGTTAATTGTTAACGACAGTTGTGGTGTAGTGGCTAGTGTGCTTGTCTACGAGTTCGATTCTTTTCGAATCTTCTCGTCATTTCGATTCCCCACAAATTTTTGCTTTCATTTCTCATTGATATTTTTGATTTTCACAGATTCTTATACATGTTTTCTTCTCTAATTATGATTAGAGTAATTTCCTTTCGTAAACAAGCACACTAACCGCTACATCACCGTTGAAAGAGAAGCTCAAGAATGCCTAACATGAATGTTAATTTGCAAATTTCCATGGATAAAGTCTCGATTTTAGCTTTTTACTTGATTAGTTTACTAGATTTTAGCTTTTTTGTTACAGTAATTGTCATAAATTGCCAGAAATTCTCAGAAATTCTCACTTGAGCATAGAGACAATTCGGTGGCGGCAAATTTTTGGGTTTCTTTTGTACAAGGTGCTTGGCACAGCGGATGCCCATTTAAATGCAACAGAATCTAAAATAAGAATAATAATAATAATAATAATATCATAATTGGAATCTTAAAGAGCACTTGAAACTCGAGTGAAATCATGAATTGAGAAAATGTGCCGAGAAAAATCGTTGGGGTTAAGAATTCGAAAAATTTTGTCAAAACACCCGATTAGCTGTAAAAGCCATAAAATAAAAGATATCTATTTTTGATTCAAATGATACGATGTTCAAACAATCCAGGGAAATGCTTTGTTCTGAACATTCACTTATCATGAAATGACTCATTTTCGGGGTTCAGCTTGATCAGCAAACGAATGAATCAAAACGAATTTGGAAAGGATTTTTGAAGCAAATAGGATTAGATACTTGTTGAGTAACTAAGAAAAAGTAATAAAGTAAAGAATGATAACTTTTGAAGTAAGATTTTTGGAGAGGGGATTGAACCGATCTTCTTGCTTTCGGGGAGTAGATGGCAACCACTATTGAGTTGGTGAATTGAAAACTGCGGGCTATCGTCATATGTGACAGTTTGAGCATTTTCTTCAAAAGAAACCCATTTTGGTGTCAATGGAAAAGTTGTAGAGAATCAAAAATCAAGCTTATATCCAAATTTTCTGAACGATTCAAAAACTCCTTTTCAAGAAATGCCAAATTTACGAATTTTCACAAAACTTGTATTTTAAGCGAAACTACTAAGTGTATTTTTTTGGAAATTTGGCTATAAGTCCAATTTTTGATTCTCTACAACTTTTCTATTGACACCAAAATGGGTTTCTTTTGAAGAAAGTGCTCAAACTGGGACATCTCCAGTCCTCCATTTTTGAGTCTCACACTTGTCTCACACACAAACCAAAATCCTACTACGAAAGAGGAATCCGCAAATTGCTTATAAAATGGGCAGAAGTCATCAATAATAATGGAAATCATTTGGAATGAATTTATGGTTTTATTTTGAATAAATTTTAGCTCAAAGTCCCGCAGTTTTCAATTCACCAACCCAATATTATCTTTGTATCTTTTTACCAGAAAAGAGGAAAGAGAAAGGAAAGAGTTGTTTCTAATTTTTGTTACTTATTTAACTATTTATTAATTAATTAATAATTAATATTAATTACTTTAAATAATAAAGCAAAATTTATACTTCTAATGGTTGAAAAAGTGTAATTTCTCAATGAAATCTTCTTTTCAATGACTCAAAGCTTATGAAATGAACAAAAATGAATAAAATTCTGAAACAATACAGATTCTGTCTCCGAAAACTTTCATGACTCATCGAAAAGAATGATTTTATTTGCGGGAAATCAATTTCACGTGAATTCTATAGAAAAAGAGGCCAGGATTTGCATATTTTGAGTCAAAAGTCGATTTGGCGTTTCGTCTTTCTCCTAAGTTGAACTAAAATTTCCCCAAAGTTCAACTCATTGCCTAATTCGATTAGTTGAACACTCAAAGTGATCAATTTTAGTTCAAATCCAGTGATTTGCGAGGTTTTTCCAGATAAATTCAACTGATCCAACTGATCAACTGAACAAAAATGAAAACACATTCTATCTAGTTAAAAAAGGTTGAAAAAGCGGGTTAAATTCTCAATGAAATCTTTTTTAATGACTCAAGGCTTATGAAATGAACAAAAATGAATAAAATTTTGAATCAATACATCAATAGTGCATTGCATTTATCAAATTTCAATAAAAATTCAAGCATTTCTTAAAGAAAAACCGGAAAAACTTGTTTATTTCTAGTTTTTTGAGCAAAGTAAACTAGTGGAATTGTAATGAATTTTAGAAATTTTAAATTGGTGATATCTTTACAATGAAGTAAGCAAATTTTATCAAAACAATAATCTTAAATATATTGTTTTATTTATTAAATCTGTTAACACTCTCTTCAGCTAGTCAGCGACGATTTTTGAAAGGTTTAGATGAAATTTGGAGAATATGAAATTTGGACGAATTGTTCTCGAGAATATGAAACGATTTTACATTTAAATCAAATAAATCTTGAACAAATAAACAAAGCTAATATAGATTAGAAAGGTTTAGATGAAATTTGGAATTTTCCAGCTAATTTCTCTTGAAACATGATTTTAAAATAATGATTGAAACAGTTTATCGCTTTACTGGCTGAATAAAACCAAAATCTGGCTACCCTCACCACATGGCTCCTTGGCGCAATGGTAGCGCGTTCGACTCCAGATCGAAAGGTTGGGTGTTCGAGTCACTCAGGGGTCAAGATCTTTTTGTTTTTTGCGACAAAGTTTTTAAAACTCATATATTCACGCAGGAAATTTTACGTTGTTGACAGACACTGCTTCTTCCGCTTTTTTCCAACTGATAAAGAACTTTTTGCTTTTGCGTTTTAAAAGTTTGACTTCTTTATACATTTATAATCGTTTTTCAACAAAAACATTATATCATTTGAATCTTTGTCTCCATAAAGTCAAAATCTGGCCATCCGTTCCGCATGGTTCCTTGGCCCAATGGTAGCGCGTTCGGCTCCAGATCGAAAGGTTGGATGTTCGAGTCCCTCAGGCGTCAAAATTTTTTTTTTCTTCTTTCAAGATCAGATTCTTTTTTCAGGGTCAAACTGCCGATTTTTGACCGATACGAGATATTGATTATTGATAAGCGTTGAGAGAAACAAAGAAGATCGAAAAAGACGTAAAATTTGTTGTTTTTCTCATTTTACCATCAATATTTGCTTCTATTTAACTGGAAAAATGCCTGACGAATTCCCAGCTGATAGTTATTTGAAATTTCAAAAAAAAATGCCTGGAGCGGTTGGTTTTAAAACTGTTTAATCAGTTAGTTTTAAACCTGTTTAATCAGTTTATTCAAATGAAGCAGAACTTGAATACTAAATTGTTATTTGGTGAACTTTGTGCTTAAAATTCGTGATGAAAGCTTCATTTTTCTTCAAGAAACAAAAGGAATTGTGAGAAAGATCAAGGATTAGATCAAGATCAAGAATTAAGTGCATTAGAAAGAAGACGTTTACATTTTCGAGAGCAAAGTATGTTTTAATCTAGTTTTATTTGAGTTCACTGATTTCCCGACGACAGATTATTTGAAGACGCAGAAAACCCGACCGGGACCAGTTCGTACTTTCCATTTTTGTTTTTAGCAAATTGCATGCAAATTTTAGACCTATGTGATACAACCGTCGATCAAAATGTGTTTTGATGATGGAAAGTTGGCTGTTGGGAAACGGGTTTTCGATGCGGGTTGTGGACGGGGTGAGGGCTTAACTCTTCTAAAGATTTCTCAATATTTATCAAAACTTTTGAGCGTCTGTTTGAGTTGAGTCGTTGAGCGTCATAAGTCTGTTTCCTTTTTAGCATTAAAACTGGGCAAAATGAGCTCTAAACAATCTTTCAGTCCACTCAAAATTGATTTATGAAATAGCCAGCCAAAGAATTTCTGAGAGAAGGGAATCCGTGCTCTACCAAATAAATGGCAACTAGTTATGCTTAAGAATGGGGCATACCTTGAATAAATTAATATTTTCTCTCTTTGCGCCGTTTTGATAAGTGAGGTCGTGGCCTAGTGGAAAATTGGCTGTTGGGAAACAGGTTTTCGATGCAGGTTGTGGACGGGGTGAGGGCTTAACTCTTCTAAAGATTTCTCAATATTTATCGGAACTTTTGAGCTCGCAGATCTTTTAGCTCACTCAACTCAGCTCACTTTCAGCTCACTTATGAAACCAAAGAAGTCAAAGAATTTCTCAGAGAAGGGAATCCGTGCTCAGCCAAATATTTCCTCTCTTTACGCCGTTTTGATAAGTGAGGTCGTGGCCTAGTGGATCGTGCGTTTGTCCGCGAAAGTTTTATGTTGGATTGAATTCCCGTAATTGCAACTTTTTGCTTTTGCGTTTTAAAAGTTCAGCCAGATCTTTCAGCTCACTCAAAATTGATTTATGAAACAGCCAGCCAAAGAATTTCTGAGAGACGGGAATCCGTACTCTACCAAATATCTAAATCTACTAAATGGCAACAAGTTATGCTTAATAATGGCGCGTACCTTGAATAAATTTGCTTTCTAGTTTTTGTGAAAAATTACAGACCTTTTCCGAGGTCCGAAAACTTTCTTTCCAACCTAATATTTTCTCTCTTTACGCCGTTTTGATAAGTGAGATCTTGTGCGATAGTGTGCTTATCCGCGAAACTTTTCCTCTGTTCAATTCCCGTACTTGCAACTTTTTGCTTTTGCTGCTTTTGCGTTTGAAAAGTTTGACGTCTTGATGCATTTATAAACGTTTTTTGAACAAAAAAAATTATATCATTTGAGTATTTGTCTCGATAAAATCAAAATCTGGCCCCGTTTCCACGTGGCTCCTTGGCGCAATGGTAGCGCGTTCGACTCCAGATCGAAAGGTTGGGTGTTCGAGTCACTCAGGGTCAAAATTTTTTCTTTTCTTTTCAAGATCAGATTTTTTTTGGAAAAAATCTAACCGGCTAAGGTCTTGGTCTTGATAAGTGAGGTCTTGGTCTAGTGGATAGTGCGCTTGTCCGCGAAAGTTTTGTGTTGGGTTCAATTCCCGTACTTGCAACTTTTTGCTTTTGCTGCTTTTACGTTTTAAAAGTTTGACTTCTTTATACATTTATAATCGTTTTTTGAACAAAAACTATAGCATTTGAATATTTGTCTCCATAAAGTCAAAATTTGGCCCTCTTTTCCGCATGACTCCTTGGCGCAATGGTAGCGCGTTCGACTCCAGATCGCACTAGTGGATAGTGCGCTTGTTCGCGCTACCAGAAACTTTCTTTCCAACCTAATTATTTCTCTCTTTACGCCGTTTTGATAAGTGTGGCCTAGTGGAAATTTGGCTGTTGGGAAATGGGTTTTCGATGCGGGTTGTGGACGGGGTGAGGGCTTAACTCTTCTAAAGATTTTTCAATATTTATCGATACTTTTGAGCTCGCAAATCTTTCAGCTCACTCAAAATTGATTTTTGAAAAAAAAATCGTCAAGAAACCACTGTATAAGAGTTGAAATAAAGTTTAATTTTACAGTTTAATAAATTTGATATTTCAAAATCGATTCATTGGAAATTGATCGCGAAATTTTATTGAAAAGAGTCAGGTTCTAGTTATTTTTGTTTAATGAAAAGAAAGTTATCATTATTTAACATTTTTTTGGAAGCTATGAGACATTAAAAATGTTAAAATCACATTTCAGTTTTGATTTTTCCAAGAAAACTTAACGAGAGTCTGTGAGAAACTCAACTTTTCCCAGTAGCCACTTTCCACAAGTGTTTCTGGGCAAGCAAAAAGCAATAATTTTGAAAAAAAGTAACTTAAACTTGTTAACGTTGAGCGTATTGATAAGTCTGTTTCCTTTTTAGCATTTAACTTGGACAAAATGAGCTCTAAACAGCAATCTATTGTTTCCGATAAATATTGAACATCTGATCTACTTAAGTAACAAGTTTAGGTTGAAAATTTTTACTACCTTTTGAAGAACTGATAGTCAGAACTAATTTAGAAACGGTTTTCATAGAATCCTTTTAGGCTTCCATACAAAAAGATTCCTGGAATGGGGTGCTTCGTTCATTTTGGAATCGACAATTCAGTGGAGATGATTGATGAAGCGAAGGAGTACTTGCCCAGTAGGTTGATCTAAAAAGTAATTCCGGATCAGATCAGATCAGGCAAGGCCAAAGCCAAGTCCAAGCCAGGGCCAAACCAGGCTCAAGTCAGACCCAAGCCAGGTCCAAGCCAGGTCCAATGCAAATCCAACCCAGGTCCAAGCCAGGTCAGGCTTGATCACAAAAGCAACTGGGTCTGGCTATTGACTTTGGCTGGCCTTACCAATAAGAAGTCGCTGGATCTGCCAGAATCCAGATCTGGACTTGACTTATGATCCTACCTTGCCTGGCTGATGGTCCAGCCCAATTAGAGCACTTTTCCAGTAAACCAAAGCTATCATTGATTTTTCACACTTCTAGAAACCCCCAACGTCCACCTCGAGGTCCAATCAATCGTTGATTTGAAAATCCCTTCTGATATTGAAAAATTCGATGTGGTTACCTCAATCTTTGTTCTCCATTTTATCAATAAAAGAGAGGATTTGAGAAAGGTTGGGATATGCTTTTTCTAAAAACCGAAGTTTTAGGCAATTCACAACTTGAGTTGTCTTCTAAAAAGTGGAGGCACATTGATCGCCTGCTTTCCTAATTTTGAGGCTGGCTTTGAATGGCCAAGGGATGAGGCTTTAAAATTTGGTGAGATTTGAGAAAAATGGCTTTATGCAATATTGGATTAAATCCAATATTACATAAATTTTCTGAATTTTTGTACAACAAAACCCATCAGGAATTGGTATGTCTTTTGATGAAAGTGCCGGTTTCAAGGATGGTTTAGCAGCAAAGATCAACATTTATCAAGGAAATGGTAGGTGCCAGTGATCGAAAATCTTTGTATAACTTAGGCAACAATTGCAAAAGAAGAACATTACTTTAACTTCTACAGTAATCAATCGTTATTTAATACTGTAATATTTGAAGTAGAATGGTTTCCCCTCAACAGTATCAAATTTAGACAAAATACCGTACTTAAACCGCTAGTTTTCATTCAATTAGACCAATTTCACAAACTAAAACCTGCTGCCAAGCTTCATAATGTTAGCAATTGGATTGGAAAGCAATTGTAAAACGATAAAGATAAAGAAGCAGGAGAGCTGGTCTTTAGTTAGCCAGTACTTTTGGTGTACTTATCGTACTGATACTGCCAGTACTTTTTGTGTACTTATTGTACATATAGTTAACCAGTACTTTTGGTGTACTTATCGTACTTATAGTTAGCCAGTACTTTCGGTGTACTTGTACTTATCGTACCTATAGTTAGCCAGTACTTTTGATGTACTTATCGTACTTATAGTTAACCAGTCCTTATCGTTAGCCAAAGCCTTAGCCTAGTCCCAGTTTAACACTACAAAAATTCTCATTTCCAAGCAGATTCAATACTTTTTATTTCAGAAATCAAAGTCTCAATGGGCGCCTACTTGTGGCTGCGGTCAACATATCAAGAATTCCTGGAAGAAGCCGGTTTTGAGAAGGTTTCCTTTTCAAATTTCTTAATCCTGGAAAAAATGAACGATTGTTAAAACCCTGAATGCTAATTTGAAACCAAAAAACCTTACATTTAAACTCAAGTCAATTTCCAGATCAATTTTCTCTCTCCAATCGTCTCCGAAGAGGGTAAAAATGAGTTCGGTGCGGAGTTTTTCCACAATTTGCTCAATCCACCAAAAGATATTTTTGTAAAAGCTGTGAAAAAATGAAAATTTATTTGTAAAACAAGAAAAAGCATACGAGAATGGTCAGGAAAATACAAAATTTCTACCTAAAATGAAAAAAAAAACGGGAAAAATTGATAATAGATGTTCAAGAATGATATGAAAATATTATATTTAACTTAAAAATTAAGAAAACTAGTAGATTATTCGGTATTTTGTTCACCCAATTTGGTTTAAACAAGAAGTCGATGGATCTGTCAGATCTGGACTTGACTTATGATCCTACCTTGCCAGGACAGAAGCCAGGTCCAAGCCAGGCTCAAGTCAAACCCAAGCCAGGTCCAAGCCAGGTCCAAGCCAGGTCCAAGTCAGGTCCAAGCCAGGTCCAAGTCAGGTCCAAGCCAGGCCAGGCTTGATCACCAAAGCAACTGGGTCTGGCTATTGGCTTTGACTGGCCTTACCAATAAGAAGTCGCTGGATCTGCCAGAATCCAGGTCTGGACTTGACTTATGATCCTACCTTTCCTGACTGATGGTCCAGCCCAATTAGAGCACTTTTCCAGTAAACCAAAGCTATCATTGATTTTTCACACTTCTAGAAACTCCAAACGTTCATCTCGAGGTCCAATCAATCGTTGATTTGGAAATCCCTTCTGATATTGAAGGATTCGATGTAGTTACTTCAATCTTCAAAAAAAAACCGGAAAAATTGATAATAGATATCAAGAATGATATGAAAATATGATATTTAACTTAAAAATTAAGAAAACTAGTAGATTATTCGTTATTTTGTTTACCTAATTTGGTTTAAACAACGCTCGATCTGAAATCGGAGATGGAATTGACAAAAATTGAACTGAAAAGAAAAGGAAATTGCCCTGAGATGGGACTGAACTGGCGATCAATAGACAGCTGAAGCTCTTCAGCCTAACGCTCTCCCACTAAGCCATTGAGGCACGCAAGCTAGCTTGTCAAAGTTACCATAAATAGGATCAAGCTGTAAGTCTTGGGCTTGACTTGTTCAAGAAAAATCACCTCTAGAATAATCCTGAGAAAGGGAACAGGTCAAGGAATGTTTCTAACAATGAATCATCGATAGATAGCTCAAGGATTGGCAAAAACGCTGCCGAATCACATTGTGATCTTTGTTTGGCTTTTGGAGAACAAGTTATGACCGAACGATCCTGCCAACTCTGGTTTCGATTCGATCAATCGATTCCGAGAAGGTATTGAATCTCTTGAAGACGAGCCACGTAGGGACATGGAGATTTGGGTGACCGACTACTTTCAATCACAGAATCAAGAGTTCTTCGATAAGGAGCTCCGTAATCTGAAGCAACATTGGAGGGATTTTATAGACAACGATGGTGCTTATTGTTTCCAATAAATTGTTACCTAAAGAATTTTGATTTAATTTAATGTTTGCAAAAAAACGAAATTTCTTTTGCATCAACCTAGTATATTTGACGACACTTTGACGTTTAAATCTTTATTAACCCTATAGATTCAAGTATCAGTGAATCATAAGCACATGGAGATTTGAGTGACACACCCAAATGATTAAATAGATGATGATATTGAGTCTCTTGAAGACGAACCACATAGGCACATGGAGATTTGGATGACCGACTACTTTCAATCACAGAATCAAGAGTTCTTCGATAAGGGGATTTGCAATCTGAAGCAACGCTGGAGAAATATTTTAGACAACGATGGTGCTTATTGTTTCGAATAAATTCTTACCTAAAGAATTTTGATTAGACTTTGATTTTGAGAAACGAAACTTCTTTTGCATCAATCTAGTACAGTGTAATATTTTAATTATCACTTTCATTGAAGCTGATAAAATAAGATGAAGTAACGGTAGTTGTATAGATTTCGGTGACACCCAAATGATCAAATAGATGGTGATATTGAGTCTCTTGAAGACGAACCACATCGGGAATATGGAGATTTGGATGACCGGCTACTTTCAATCACAGAATCAAGAGTTCTTCGATAAGGAGATCCGTAATCTGAAGCAACTTTGGAGGGATTTTATAGACAACGATAGTGCTCATTTTTTCAAATAAATTGTTACCTAAAGGAATTTTGATTAGATTTTGATTTTAAATTCTTTTGCATCAACCTAGTATGTCTGGTTTAAAGTCGAATGACGCATCTGATTTATTCACAATAATAGCCTCCAATCACGAAGTATCAAAAGACAAAAGGAAATAATTCTCTCCACGACGACAAGTGGCCCGCCATGTGTTGCCATCTCTTAACACGATCCTCATCTCGTAGACCATCAAATGTTTTTCCCAGGTGATCGGATTGTGATCGATCTCGGGAATCTCCTCTTCGACGTGTTTTGTTAAGACTTTGAAGAGCAACTCTTGGTCGTTGCCTGGTCCATCTGAATTGAAACAGTGAAAAAAATTGTATTTTTCTTGAATACTTTAATGAAAGGGCAGTAGGAGTTGCAAATTAAATCTTTTTCGAAAGCTTTGAATACGAGAGAAGTAGAGTTAGGGAAATGATTCGAGATTTTATTCAATTGTAACTTTTTTGCTTTCGCAATACATTGCATGCATGCAATTTTTTTGGTTTTAAAGAACGTTGAACTAAAATGGAAAGAATATTTTGAACTTTTGAACTTTATTGGATAAAAATACAAAATCTAGGACTTTCGGCTTAACTAGAGTTACTAATAGATCGGTTTTTTCGACCAAAAAGCAAGAAAAAGCTCTGGAAAAGCTTAGATTTTGGCTTTTAACTTAACTTTTTAACTTTTCTTATAAGTTTTTTGCGGGGTACTCTACTCAAAATACAATAGGTAAATAAGAATTTTCAATGAAATAGTGGAAAGCGACAGTATTCCTTGAAAGAATACAATTACCGTAGAGCTTTTTGATCAGCTACTTTTAGGGTAGTGTACTGAAAAGCTTTGGGCACTAGAATGAGGTATTAAAATGTAAATTTCACAAATATTTGCTTATTTTTCATTATCCTGGAACGCATGTAAGGAAAATTTTACAAAAAAAAATAAAAAAATCAGTCATTGGGTTGTCCAGTTATGAATGAGCGTTTTTACGATTTTGTAAGTTTCTCAAGGTATCGAACAGATGTATATAAGTGTTATATATCGTTCGAGAGCTGAAAATCTCCTCTACATTTTGGAATAAAAAAGTTTTTGAATTCATTCAACTTTTTGGGAAATTGACTCTGCACAAAGGGAGAGGTCGTTTTCGAAAAAAAACCTATTTCAGCTTAGCTATTCCTCAAGTTTTATGGTGTAAAATACTGATAAAAAATGAGCAAAATCGACTTGGAACCATCAAAATCGACTTGGCATCATCAAAATCGACTTGGAATCATCAAAATCCCTGCCAAGATTGTTACAAAAAGCTAAACCTATAGCCAGTTAGGTCAAAAATGACCTTATCTGGCTTCTGGATAAATTAGAAGTCGACTCTGGATGTCGTGCTATTCATTGCTCACTTTTGAAAGCAAAATTCAAGACAGGTCAAGCTCTACAGCTTGAGCTGGCCTGATAGAATTGGTCCAAGGACCTAGACTCGAATATAGTCTTTTATAAATTCTCAAGATATCGAGCAGATGTATATGAGTGTTATATATCATTCAAGAGCTGAATATCTCCTCTACATTTTGGAATAAAAAAGTTTTTCCATTCATTCAACTTTTTGGGAAATTGACTGCACAAAGGGAGAGGTCGTTTTCGAAAAAAAAAAAATTCAGCTTAGCTATTCCTCAAGTTTTATGGTGTAAAATAACCGCCCAGGAAAGAAAAGAAAAGTAAAGATGCTCTGGAATTGTTATATTTAAAAAAAATTTGTATTGATATATCTATTGGCTAAACATCAAACGGTTAACTCAATTTGAGCGGAGCCAAAACTTGATCCAAAGGCACCCTTCCATTTTTTGGCCACCTCTTCTTCTGTGCAGTCGATTTGCCCAAAAGCCGAGCAAATTCAAAAGCTTTTTATATCAAAATGTAGAGGAGATCTTCAGCTTTCGAATAATACTCAGATATATTTTTTTCTTGATTTTGGTATCTTGAGAAATTTAGAAAATAGTAAAAAACGCGCGTTGATAACTGGACAACCCAATAGATAGGCTTTTTTTTTACAAAAAGCAAGAAAAAGCTCTGGAAAAGTTTGGATTTAGCCTTTTAACTTAATCGATCTTAGACTGATCAATAGAAAATAGATCAATACACAGCCATCTGATTAATAAGAACGCTGAGAAACGATTAGTGATCTAATCTCAGACTGAGAACAAGCCAAAGTTATCTTTTAATGAAAATTCTTAAGAAAATGATTTGAATTTGATTTAAAAACGTTTTTAAAGATGATGAAAATATTCATTTTCGTTTGAAAATACTCAAGAATCATTTTCGAGACTTTCAATTCACCAGAATTCAATAAAAAGCACCAGAATTCATTAAAATTAGCCCTATTCCTGTAGATTTTAGTTTAGAAAACTCACTGAAAAAGTACTGCAATTGTTGAAGGTCTAAATCGGCATCAAGATCTTTTTCCAGGACATCCAAATGCTCTCGATAGAAATCGGCGTTCACTTCAACGTTCACATTGATCATTTTGAGAGCATCTTCCAAATAGATCTCTTGAATCGTTGGCTCGTCGGGCAACTGTTCCTCAGGGTTTAAAACGAATCGATCGAATTCCTCTCTTGTGTCAAATGTGGAGATGGGAATCTTTTTAATGCCCATATCCCAATCTCCAGGTCCAGTTACTATCAGTTTTTCCGTTCTCTCAGCATCTCCGAAAAATACTCCACTGCATTCGGCCCAGAAAACGGTGGTCATATCTCTCCAAAAGAATTTCCCCTCGGCAATTCGTGCTTTCAACGAGAGTTCCTGGGTTTTCTTTCTTTCTTTCTTTATTTCTTTCTTTTCGTCTTTCTGAGGTTTTCTTTCTCTTTTCTTCTTGCTGACTTTCGATTTGTGAAACATGATGAAAAATTAATAAATTCAATAGTGAATATAGATATTTTGTAAAGTAAAGAATTCAATTATGA